GAATGCCAAAGGCGAAGAACTATGGCTAAACCTGAGGAATCCCATAGATAGGCAGGTGAATTGCCATGGACATACTTCGCCCTTAAGACTGGCCCTGCGGGTGAAATTCTGGGTTCCACCGCATCTGCTGCTGCAGGAAAACACCCGACATCAGTTTTTCCTTCATGCCAAATCAGACCTTATTGAGAAGCGACTTTTGACTAACGACTGGGACAGTGCGTGCAGAGTTGTAGCTCTGATTGCTCAAGCTGACTCTGAAGACTATGATTCTTTGCATCCTCCTCATAGTCTGTATGAACAGGTAAGAAACCGGCGTTTATTAATTAATTTTTAGGCTGATTGTTCTTGTTTTGTCATCAGGCATCGACCGTTAGCAGCGACTGCCAAACTCCCAAGCCCACCGATCTTCTCCAACGGATTATTGGAGAGCACAAGAAGCTGAAGGGTATGAAAAGATCCACTGCCGAGTATTGGCTGCTGAAGGAAATATCCGACTTTGAGTCCTTCGGGGAGGAACTTTTCACGAAAACCACCGCCAATATATACCTAGGCGTCGGACCTCATGGTAGGTACACACAACGATAACATACCCGTCATTCTCTTGCTAATTACAGTGAGCACATTTTAAATGTATTCATGTAAACAGTTTGGTGTTAATAACCGGTGATTTGAATTTTACATTGATAAACCAAATACTAAGCCGACAAGTAAATATTTGAACGTGGATTTCAGTTAAAAATAAACCCGATTGACACGTTTTTCCATTTGCTTCCTTGCAGGAATAACGATTTATGATAAATCCAGCCTGGAAAAAGAGCTCATTTCCTTTACAAACATCGTAAGCGCTTCGTCCCATCGGAGAACCTTCAAGCTGGAGTATTTTTCATGCGAGAATAAGGAAGCGCTCTTGGAAGTCAAACTAGACTCCAGCCACAATGCCAGCAGTCTCTATCGGGCCATTACGGAAAAACATGCATTTTATAGGTAAGATAAGTTTTTATTATTAATTAAATTATTAAATGATAGACATGCTTTCCTGGTAGAGTAGAATAACACGTTTTTCTCTAGTACCGACAACCAAGATAAGAAGGGCTGGTTTGGGGATATCGGAAACCAGACATGCTAAAAAAGTTGGACAATTAAAAGATTACCTAATAAAATGGAGCTTATTTGGAAAAAAACTGAAAATTCCTGTATTATAATAACTTTAATTGTTAGCCTTGCCCAACTTTCTTCCATTTAATCAACTTCGCATAAATTACGGCTTTCCAAATCTCCATACTGGCCTTTCTTATCTTGGACACCGTGTATATCGTACCGTGAGTCTATAATGATCTAGGAGGAAGGTAACATTGCGAAATCAATATCTATAAATACTATTCGGTTACATGTAGTTTACGTAAATGAAGACAATCGATCGGGGCTTATTCATGCTGATTGAAATAAAGTGAAACGATTAAGGAAATCTCCGCCCGACCGGTAGTTGGGTACATCTAACGCTGCCCCTTTAATGAGTCAAATTAGAGGCAAGCATAAGCGTATTATCGTTTATGAGCCTATTTCGCTTAAGATCTAATATACTGGGTTAGGGTGGTTTAAAATAGGTGAATCGATATGTGGGAGCTTTAGCCGTTAAAAACTTGCACCTACCATTGAGTGGCTCATTTCTCCATCCACACTGGGAGGAAACCTCCAAAACATCCTCCAAACGGTTAAAGTCCTAAAGTAACACACTTCAATGTCAAACATTGGCAACAATGACTGCGACTTGGCGCATGCCGATATGGCCACTTAGCTTGGCTTGGCAGGTAAACGTCAGAAAGTTCCCAAATTGGAAAGTCGCCGTTTTTCGTCTAAAATCGCACTACCGATGGGTAAAATACCGCACAAAGATGGGCGCCGCGTTTTTATTGAAGAAAATCAACAATTTTCCGCACAAAAATCGGAATTTCGGGGCATTTTTGGAATTTCCACCTGCCCAAATTGCGCACCCTGTTTACTAATCACCATTTCCACGTCGACTACGTCGACGAAATGGCACGAGAGTGAACGAACGTTTCGGCGGTGATAACGGGTAACCATGGCAATTAGAACATTGTTGCCTAAAGCCATTATTGAATATATACAGGGTGTTATATGAAAAAATATGGTATGTAAATTTTCATAAAAGTTGCTATCGTCTCAACTGGTTTCCCCTGTATAATAATGAACTGGATTGTTGCGATGCGACAAAATGCGATTTTCCGGTGAATTTCCACGAGCGCACAACCAATGCTGCCAAAATACAAAATCATATTTTCTATGAATAGCCCTATCACTCTGTTGATGCATGGATTACATTTGGATTTATATTTAAATAGAGTTTAACGCTTAAATCCTTTCTACCAAATGTGCACGTGGCCGGATCCACATCAAACACGGCGCTAAGCGCACTTTTCAAATGCGGCTTGAATGTTTTTTGTTAAAGAATTCTATTAAAAAAATTGCTTTTTTTCAGTTGCGAAACAGTTCGAAGTGCTGTAACAGCCCAGTTCATCAGAGACTTGAAAGGCACCATAGTTTCGATTTTCAACGAAGATTCCACGCTGGGAAAGAAATATGTGTTCGACATTAGACGGACTTGTCGGGAAGTGTATGACAACGCACGTCGCGCCATTTACCAGGAAAGTCAAGCCAGATTAGCCCTGGAAGCCGAAAATCCTCGCTTATGCGGTTATGGCTGTGATGGAGAACATTGCAAAGTGAGTAGTTTTGAGCTAAATTGAAATGTTTCGACGTTTCGGTTATATTATCTCCAACTGCCTTCAAAGGGAATGAGTCCTTTCGGCAGCGAATCATTTGTGGAAGTCCGACTAAATAATTTGCTACCGGAGGGTCTTGAGTAGGCCTGGGTAACACTGTGTTGCGCTTTTGAGTTGTTGCCGCTCTCTGAGTTAATGAGTTATAAGTCATGGCTGGTGGCGGAGTTTTAACATCTAACAAAAAGCCATCAACATATTGCTTTTGCGCATACGATTGCTTGAAACTATTTGGTCTAAAACGGGAAGATGCGGGAATTTTGAAGAAACTTAAATTAATTTCAGAGCGATGAAGGTGACGAGTTTTCCAAATATTGATTGCTTATGCTTTGTCTGGTCGTTTTTTGAGAAAACCTAAATTTTGTCGAAAGGAAAACAAGATAACTTTGTTTCGATTTTGTCCCAAATTCAAAAGTAAAACGGGTATTCGAAAAAGACGATAAAGAAGACCAAACTGTAAAGACGACGATTTTTCTTGTAAAATCCATCTTTTAACTTTTTGCATAAACGACTCGCAGTTTGCCACTATTTTACAGTAAAACGTTAGGAAAAACGCGTTGTTCTGTTCAGAGAGAGCGTTTTGTTTAGAAATATTGACCTAAAAGTGAACAAACCGGAATTTGAGTAAACCAAATTATTCACAGCGACAAAAGGAACGAGTTTCCCCAATAATTGCCCTAACAAGTGAAAAAGTCATCAGCATTTTTTCAGCAACGGAACTGAGTTACTGCGCAGTTGCGTTGGGTTGGCGCACGAAGCCATTTGCGTGGCACTGCGCCAACTCCGAAAAATTGAGTTACTCAGGTCTAGTCTGGAGCTTCCACAGATTTTTTAGTTTCATCCGCTTTGAAGGCGGTTGCAACTACTACAAGCGAAACGCTGATTTACACAAAAAACTATAAAACGATTAATTTCAATATTCGTTTAATTGTTTCAGGACTCCGAAAAGCTGAACAGAATTATCGAAGCATTGACCTGTAAAATTTGCATGGACAATCGGTTGGATTCGGTGTTTATGCCATGCGCGCATGTTGTGGCTTGCTCGACGTGCGCGGCTCGAATCGAACGTTGTCCACTCTGTAGGAGTGAAATTACCGAGTCGCGCAAGCTCTACATGCCGTCCTGGTAGTTTCATCGAGGAGTTTTCGATAAGTTTCCGCATGGTTTTGATCTCGACTCTACCTAATCTAGTATTTTAGTGAGCATTGACTTCGGTTCGTTCGATGTAAATTGACGATCTGAAGGAAATACGGGAATTTGCGTAGTCGCAACTTTGGTCTCACATTGAGATTTTTGTTATTTTTACTGTGTAAAACTTTCAACTGTACTGATTCTGGCTCCTTCGTTCTTTCCCAGTTTTCTTTGGGTTTGCCAGACTTTTCAGTTTTTAAGCGAATGGGGCCAAAAACTGTTTTGACAATATAGATACTTAAATAACTGCTCTTCAAGCACATTATTTAGTCAGTAATCGATGCAAGCAAATAGGCATATATGTGCAAAGTGTGTTTACTAGAGTAGAACATATAACATAAATGTTCAATAGGTTACTTCTACTAGACCATAAAATAGCATATTTTGTACTATTCTAAGCTACTCTTGAATGTGGGGTGTGCATTTCGAATATCGAAAGTACGCCCCCAACCCCCATCTGTGTTAGTAGGTTAAATTTATTTTGTGATACCCCAATGCATTCATAGTGTTAGTTTACGTTACGTATGTAACTTTGATTATTATAGACTTTTTTACCGACGCTTCGTGCCGACCGAGTCGGCATTCATTTTGTTCGAAACGTTTTACCAATAAAATACTTAATAAAACTGGGTTTTTGATTTCACGCGTTTGCATCTGACCATGAAAAATACACTCACAGGTCAGTGAGAAAAACAGTTCATTATCAAGCAGATAAACTAAGGTCGACGCCTTTCTATCAGCGGCAGAAGCTCTAAAAAACCTGAGCAAAATATGCCGATATTGCAAAACTAACAAACACGTGAACAACAGTAAACAAATGATGAACTACTGACCTGAAATGATGAAATTGACGGGACCTTTTGATTGGAAATTCGCCAAAAACTGGACGCTAGCCGGTGGAGGTTTAGGAAGGGAAAGGACGGACAACGGGAAAGCTCTGAAAAAAAATTGATTTGAGCAGAAAAAGGACAAGCCAACAGGACTGATGGAGTTTCCCACGAAAACAGCATATTGCTATTACAAATCACTTTCTTTGAGTCACAAAAAATAACAAGAACATCCGTTGCCTTTCGGCTCGGGGCTGACTTCTTTACATGAAGATATCTACGGGAGCTTCGTTCCAGGCATGTTGCCTCTATTTAAGGCAATCAGGGCTTCCTGCTTACTACATATTTTAAATAGCAGGGTATTTTGTTTCTTCTCCATTCTCCGCTGCTTTCTAATCTCTTTGAGACCTTTCTTTCTTAATCTTCTTTCCTCCGAAGTTTCGCCTTTCGGCCTTATAGACAGCTCGGATAGTTGAGAGACGAGGGTTTTACCTGAAGCAACAAGAAAATGTTCATTTTTAAAATAGTAAAAAACGTGAAAAAGTATTGTGATTGGGGATTAGAACAGTTTCGCTCACCTGCTAAAGATTTAGCACCTTCTTCTTTAGCGTTCTCCCCATCAAGTTTCCCCAAAGTCTTCCTGGTGAGTTGATTGTTGCCCAAAACATCCCTGGGTATGCCAACTCGATCGGTCTGAATCTGTTTACGCTAAAGTGAATAAACGCATTATTTTTTAAGATTTGAGTCTGCAACTTAGGCTTCCAAAGTGACGAATTCACTTTGGAAGCGTGCGAAGTCGATCTTAAAATATCACATTCAACAAACTTACTTTAGGAACATCGATTAGTGTTGGCAAGTTGACGTATTTGGGTAGCGTGCTCACATCGGATTTAGTACAAACGGTCTTCTCTTCCTCACTTTCTGACTCCTCGCTCTCCTGTAAATCGCGATATTTCAATTCCAATGACTCAAATATTCGACTTTCATTATCAGAAAAGCGATGGGACAGTTATTTGATACCACCAAACTGTAGTCTGATCCAAGCTATTTTACCGATTGGCTCGAAAGATTTTCTCTCCTATTGCCTGGTTGCCATTCTGAGTTCCCTAATGTGTGACTCAATTGTACAGTTCTTGGCATTAACGGTGAGCGTTAGTGTGTTATTTTCGTGCTGGTAAACCTGCAGTCCAATAACGAATTGACGAAAAAATTGAAAAAAAAAAGGACTCATACTAGACGATTGTGTTGAAAACATGAGCAAAATGAACCGTTGTTCGCGCTCACAAAATTGATCCTATCAGTATCGAGACGTATCGGTACATTGAAGCAAAAACTTCAACACTCGCCAAGAATTCAAATCAATAACTTGAAAATTCCACACCTCCGGGAATTTTAACAATTTGCTGAAACACATACGCGAATAGAATCAAATTTCCGTCTCGTTCGATGGACAAGTAATAGAGAAAGAATGGTAATTATTGCGTCACGAGCAAACAGCATGGGACAGACTATACTTACTTCACCAATGTCTTGAAATTTCAGGATATATTCTTTTGTTTTTTGGTCAAACGTTGGGGTATCCAGCTTTTTAACAGCTCGCGACTGTTCAAATTCGTCATAGCAAGCTTTGATTCTAGAGTCGTTCATGTCGAGTGGTACGTATCCATCAATTTCTTCTGTATCGAGACTGCCGATGTGAATTGGATCGTACTGTGCAGCAAGCTGAAATAAAAATCAGTTCCCAGCCGCTCAAAGGCAACAATTTGTGACCAATCAACTCACTACTTCGAATCTTGCATCTAAAAGCTGCAGTTCTGAATTCCTTCGGATAACCGAACTTGATACTGAGTGTTCAGTAAATCTGGACTTGGGCTTGGAAAATGGCCGATCATCACCCGACCAAGGCCTAAACAGAATAATGTTAAAATGAAAAACAGTTTGGATAAATTGAGCGCGCTCTTGCTAACCCCATTTGGTCTAATTCTTCACCGTCATATTGAAAGTCTTCCAAGCGGTTCGGAACCAAAGCGTCGTCCGACACCTCACTGCCAGCCAAATCCATAAAGTTATCCTCCAACTGGTTGTCGACGTCCTCAAAATCAAAATCCTCATCCATTGCCGCAACGATGTCTCGATCCAATTGTAACTGAATGCCTGCAGTAAAGAAGCATGGGTAGCAAATGTTCAAATACTCATCAATGTGTTTATCTAACCAGTCACGGGGGCTGCTTTGTTTAACATTCCAACGTCTTCCTCCACTTTGGAAGGGAAAACTGATGATGGTAGTTCGAGTTTGGGTTTGTCCCGATCCTGCTTCCTCTTCTCGAGAAGCTCCTCCACGTTGTCTGGCCAATGCACGTGGTTGTCTTTGCGATCTGAAAATAAAAAAACGAAGCTTCTTTCATGGATTGTGGCTGTCCGCATTATGTTTAAAGTTGAGGAATAGACAGTGCCAGACCAACTAACATTGACCGTAAGTACGGTGAAATTGGCAAGACATTCCTTACCTTTGAGATGCCGCAAATAGTCGAATTCATCATCGAAGTAAACTCCATACTTTATTTGCTCTTCTCTACGCTTTTCCTTAAAGTCCTTACTGATTGGAACCAAGACATGTTGCGGGGCATTCTCATCAGTAATCAATGGATCTTGCTGGCTTCTATTCACCAGTTGGAAAGTGACCCCAGACTTCAGTTTGTGTTTTTTGGGCTGTAAAGATGAGAATATTTGGATTAATTCCTTCCATGTTCAGCTGAAGACAAATCGAAACTGGTGGGATTTTTGCATCTATAATAGCTTAAAGTGCAGGACCCTCGTGCTTGAGAAACGTCAGAATGAAATTCCTGCTCCTGACGCCCATACTCACCATTTTTACTGAAATATAATCAAAAACACCTTTCGAATAAGCAACGTGAAGTGTTTTAACAATTTCTAGTGTCTAGAAAAATACCAGCAAACAAATTAAACGAGGACAATATAAAAAAATGGGGCTATGAGACAAACGCAAATTGACGATATGGTGGATATGAAGACTGTGTCAACTGGTGAACTGCACACCAGATAGAAAATAAAATTATTTTTTTACTTATTTGATCTACTAAACTCCAAAAGAACACCAAAAAAATTAAATTGATATTATTATTTTGTGACAAGTGTCAAATTTTCTCCATACTGCACAGTACTAGAGAAATCAGTTGCGCCATCTAGGGCGTTAATATACAACTTTTCAAACTATGAAGCCAACTTAAATTCTAATGACAACCACAGCAAAATTTAAGTATTAATATCCCTTGTGCATTAAGCCTGAGCCTTTGAATATAAAACTAACTTAGTTTTATATTCAATTAACTTAGTGTTAGTTTTATATTCAAAGGCCTGAGCCCAAAAAAAATTAAAACTCTTTTCATGCCTGTTTGTCTGCCACATATTTAGTAAACTAGCTTTGATTCCATGCTACTGTTACTATCTATGACTGTCTAGTGCTCTCTTGTCTCCCTTTAAGAGGCATTCCGCGAGACGAGAAAGAAGACACTGACTATATAACCTAAGACGTTGACACATGTCACTGCTTAAAGTCCAACGCTACGACTGCTCAGGCCGATTTTCTCTTTGTTCATCAAACGGCAAAAACAGAGACCCGCAAACCTTTCGCAGTGCGTCTCCAACCGTAAGGTTTACAGAGCCGAAAAAAAACAAAGTATCTTCCTCAGATAGATCTGCGAGATAGATTCCCCAAATATTACTGTTTGCATCGTCGGTTAGTTGGTTATAATGGCTGATCAGGATAATGTGGAGAAAACCCCCGATGAGAGCCAGGTAGGTGGCAAAAAATCCCCCCCATACACTGCACATTTTCACAGTAAAAGTGAAAGAGGCACTGATCTGGGTCGCAAGTTCACTAAGTGGAGCACCTTCACCGCTTTTGTGCGTTTTCACCTTGATTTCGTACACGTTGTGTTCGTTTACTGGTGAAATTTGCCTTCAACCCGCACCATGATTTTACAGGAGAGCCCTGCGGTGGCTGAGGCTGCAGTGAAGGAAAAGACTTCGTCTGAGATCTCAGAGTACGACAGCGTGGATAGTTACAGTGACGATGATGAGCAACCTATTGGAAAAGCCCGTTCTAAGGCATCTGGATTGGATTCCCAATCGGAAACAGAAGGTTAGTTGGATAGCAAGCCCCCTCATGGCTCATGGCTCAGTGCCACGTTTATTGATATAAAGGGCACGCTTGCCGCACTTGATGGCCCTTAACTTTATAATGGTTTAGATAAAAACAGCAATTTTCTAATTTTATTAGTCATATGTCGATATTAATTTCCTGTTTAATTGGGCAGACTGTGCGGCTCTTGAACGTGAAGAAGGTGATGGCCAAGAAAGCGTTCCACAGAAGAAGGTGGATGATGATGAGGACAAGAAGAACCCGCAGTACATCCCAAAGCGAGGAACTTTCTATGAACATGACGACCGAACAGCTGAGGACTTGTAAGTTCTAGATTTTTATGTAGGTATAGTTTTCTTATTAACGGTCACTGATATTCCAGAGAGAATCAGGAAGAAGCCGAACCGGAAAAGGTGGACAAAGACGGGAAAAAGAAAATCTGGGACAAAGAGGGAAGATGGGGCCATGATCGGTAAGTTCATCAGGTTTTTTTGTCGAATTTTTAGTCAATTGGTGGCCTTTCTGCAGGTTCAACGATCAAGAGCAGTCGCCTAAGTCGCCTTCCGAATTGATTGCCATCTATGGTTATGATATTCGCAATGAAGAAGGCCCTCCAAAGGCAAGAAGGCGCAGAAGATATGGGTAAGTCCCGTTTTATCAATTTCATTAAGACTCTGTACATATTTGATCTTTTCCATTTTTTGCTTGCTGCAACTCACAGGAAAGTTAGGTACTATATAACTCCAATTTGGATAAATAGAGTGTTTTGTTGAAAGTATTGCAATTGAAAGGTGAATTCTTTGTCTAGCCGCGGCCCGAATAAGTACACTCGAAACTGGGAGGACGAAGACGCCTATGGGAAGCCTGTTCCAGCTCGCCCACCAAAGCCCGCTAAGAAAGAGCGGCCCAGAAACTCTGAGGAGTTTCCTCCTTTAGGAGCCAGTAAGTCATGAGCATCAAACGCGAAGCCCATACTAAGTTTAATGCTTTGTTGCAGACAGCGATCGCGCCCGGCTAAAGTCCCCCTCAGACTCTAATGGCGATAACATCGAAGCTCAGGAAAACAATATGCAAGCTTCAAGAGCGTCAATTGAGAGGTAACTTTTTGCCGTTCCGCAGCCAATCGCAACGCTATAACTTGAAATTTCCAGACAAGACCCGAAGAAAGAGCAAGCAGTGGAGCAAAATCAGCCTCCGGCATCGCACAATCCCAACTCGTCGAGACAAGCGCCAGAACAACGAAACTTGCAGCCGGAACAAGGTTCCGGTAGGTTCAACCAGCCCCAGAAAGTGGGAACTGGGAGAATAATCGCCCCTAAGAAGGAAATCAAGGACTCTGATTACAAGTGAGTGTAACTAGTTTTGATTTTGATGGCATTGACTTACAAGGGCTATTATTAACAGGGGTTTTACGACCAAAACCCGGCAGCAGCGCAGCGTTAGAAGCGAAAATCAAAAAGTGCTTCCCCCAAGGAACCTCAAGAAGGAGAACGAGTACATTCAATCGCAAAACTTCTCCAACAAGAACAGCAATCAAAATCAGATCGCTGAAATGGAACGGGAGATCAGTAGTCTGAATATACAAGTAAGTTGATCGGGAATTTGGGTGATTTTCGGGGTAAAAATTGTGTTTTTTTAGGACGGGGTCTATAAGGGCAAGCGAACCAGCGCGGGCAGCAATAATAACAACAAGCCAAACGCAAACAACCAGAACAGACAGGGGAGCGTTCCGCCCCGTTTACAGAACAGTGAGCCCAAAGGCTCGAAGCGCTACAGCTCATTGAGGCAACGATCGCTCCCCGAAACCAACGCGCCGCCAGTGCCAGCTAATTTCAGCTTCTACCCAAATGGTAAGCACCATCATTTAATTAAGCATGGAGGAGCGGTTACAGATGTACACACTTACCCCTGTGGTAAGCACTAAGGCTTGAATTTTGGTGAGTGTTATTCCAGTGGGTTTTGTTGCAGATTACAATTCGGCGGCCCCGCCCCCAGCAACACAACAACCAATCCTGCCCTCATCTATTCCCCCTGCAGGTTTAGTGCCGCCCCAAGTGCCTGTAAGTGCAGCGCCGCCCTTGCTGCAGGTAAGCCATCCGAATTACATTTGGATGTCGGGGGTTGACCAAACCACATTGCAGGCCCCGTTTCCCGCGGCGGCTGCTTTTGCAGCGCCGGCGCCCCCTCAGGCCTTCCTGCAGGGCCCACCGCCCCCTTTTATCGCAGCACCGCCTGCGCAGCCCCAGCTAGTCAGTTACGTTACGCAGGCACAGCCAGCTTTCGTGCAGGGCTACCAGGGACAGTTTAACGCTGTTGTAAGTGACAATGCTGGTTATTTTTATATAGCCACTTTCTAACTGAGCCAACTGATCAATGTAGACACAGCCAGCTGATTTGTATCAGCCACAGGGAGGCATAACGTACTACTCGGCTGATCAGCAAATCGCACAACGGCCGGTTCCTTTAAGGAGACCTAAAGCGGCCATCCCTATAGTCGCTCCCACGAACTTCAAAGATCAGATTCAAAGGGATGATGTTAGTTGTAGTACTGGTGAAGCGACTCCAGTGAGCGAATGAGATTGGCTTGTCTATGTAGGATTTAGCGGTAGATGATAAGTGTGTTGGAATTTTTTACATTATTTTTTAGTTTTACTGGTTTAATCTCAACCAGATAATTACTGATTCATAGACGAAATTAACTCTCGCACCTATGGAATATTATGTAAGAGAGAATTTATCATTATAATGAAGTTCGGAGTTCATTAAACTAAGTCCGCGCTATTCCTAGCACACTCTGTATCGTGCGCACTTACTTTGAGCTCTTTATAGATTGTTATCGATATGTTATATAATCGACTTTAATTCCTTATTTATTTATGATAGATATTTTCTATAATGTAAAGAATAGATGATAAAACCATATATGGCAATTTTCACGATTTCATGGCAGTTGCAAGGAAAGTTAGTTATAGCGTAATATATAATATTAAGAACCAATGCAGTTTCGCTTTAAAAGAATTGATTGAAACATCTAAGATTTCGAATGTAGCTGATTCAGATTCAATGATTGTCTATCAGGTTTTATTTGTTGTTGCAGTTCCCTGAGGACTCTACCGCTGCAAAGTGGTACTTCTTGCGGAACCGTTTGCTGGAACAGTTTTTTGCTGATCAGATACTCCCGTTTTGGGGCATTGAATTCCAGACACGGGCTAAACTGATATCCCCACATTATTTCTTTGTTCAGATAGGAGATTTGGCTGCGCGTTGATTGTCCGGTTTTCATCGAACTCCCTGATACAACAACAACAATTTCCAATCTGGAATAGAAGAGCGGGCAAAAGTTAGTTCAGTTTTCTTATGATGTTTTTACATGTATACTTTTTTGTTTATTCTTAAGATATGGTGGATGCACTTTTCCCTCAATTATCGAAAAATTGGCTCAAGTAAATGTATCCATCATAAGCACGGCGTCATTATGCGCGGTTTGAATGAAACCATCTTCAGACTCTAGTATCTGCTAAAGATGGTAAGACTTAAAAGAATTGAATTGGATATTTAAAAGGAAGGATGCATTTGACTAGAAACATTAATTTTTTAACCCACGTTTTCGACGCTGAAAAAAATCAGGATTATGGGCTATTTTTATGAATCTTTTGTTCTTGTGAGACCCAGATACTTTCTATAAATGATGCGAACTTTATCTTCCATTTTCAGAGCCACGTTTACCACGCTGGCAAAAATCAGGATTATGGGCGATTTGTATCAAACTTTTCTCATCGGAAGACTCAGATCGTTTCTATAGGCGGTGCTAATTTCATATTCCTACTTCCTGTAGTCTGGTCGATGCAATTTTTTAAGAGATAGAGTGCATTTGTGGATAAACGTCCATTTTCAGAGCCACGTTTACCACTCCGGCAAAATTCAGGATTATGGGCGATTTGTATGAAACTTTTCTCATCGGAAGACTCAGATCGTTTCTATAGGCGGTGCTAATTTTATATTCCTACCTCCTGTAGTCTGGTCGATGCACATTTTTAACAGATAGGGTGCATTTGTGGAAAAACTTCCATTTGCAGAACCACGTTTACCACGTTGGCAAAAATCAGGATTATGGGCTATTTGTATGAAACTTTCGTCATCGTAAGACTCAGATCGTTTCTATAAACGGTGCTAATTTCGTATTCCTACCTCCTGTAGTCTGGTCGATGCAAATTTTTAACAGAGATGGTGCGTTTGTGTAAAAACGTCCATTTTGATAGCCACGTTCAGTACGCTGGCAAAAATTAGGATTATGGGCCATTTTTATGAAACTTTTGTCACCGTAAGGCTGAGGTATTTTCTATAGATGGTGCAAATTTCATTATTCTACCTTCTTTAGTCTGGTCGAAACAAATCTTTAAAAGTTAGGGCGCATCGTTTTTAAACATCCATTTTCAGACCCACGTTTACAACGCTGAAAAAAATCAGCATTAGGGGTGATTTTAATGCATCTTTTGTCATCGTAAGGCTCAGATCCTTTCTATAGATTGTACTAATTTCATATTTTTACCTCCTGTAGTCTGGTCGATCCAAATTTTTAACAGACGGTGCATTTGTGTAAAAACGTCCATTTTCATAGCCACGTTTAGTGCGCTTCATCAATCAGAATTATGGACGATTTCTATGAAACTTTTGTCACCGTAAGGCGCAGATATTTCCGATAGATGGTGCAAATTTTAATATTCTACCTCCTTCCTAGCCTGGTCGAAACAATTTTTTTAAGGAGAATTAAAGAAAAAGCATCCTTTTGTTCCACGTTTACGGCGCTGGCAAAAATCAGGATTATGGGCAATATCGATGAAATTGTCAGCCTCTTTAGAGTCAAGTGTGTTCTGTAGATGCCGATGGCGAAAAATTTCACATCGCTACTTGCGTCTAAAAATGTCCATTTTGAGACCGATACCTACCAGGCCAAAATAAATCGGGGGAAGCAAGCATCAGCAATTGCTAAAGCAGCTAAAATAGTTATTACCTTGTAGTCATCAGTTCCTTAGCAGAAATGTCCCACAAAGGGCTTTCAGGGCCTATTTCATGAATGACATCCACCGGCCAGAAAAGCATGCCAAATGGTTTGATCGCCAGTTCAACCATATAGTTTGGAATCAGTTCGCCTTCCAACATCATGCGGTCTTTTATCAGATACATGCACACATTAGTGTTGATCCCATGCCTTCCTTCCTTGTCGTTCACCCGCACTATCAAGCAAAGGTGCCCATCTCGAAGGGAAACCTAAAAACTCATCATTTCACTCTCGAAGTTCCAGCCCCCATTCGCTTACTATGGCTTTTTTGGTGAACATGTGCCCATGCACGTTCCTCTCTTTGGGCTTGTTCAACTTAGCGTACACTACTGATATGAAAGCCCCATCAATAAAAATCGTCGTGATTGTGCTAAAGGCCAAAACAACAAAGTACAGTTCGCAATTTTCACTTGGACGCACATAACCGTAACCGATCGTTGTGATGGTTTCAATCCCCAACATGAAGAAGTGCCGCATGTTGCTGATTCCCACCATGCAGGAGAGTTTTCCTGTAAAAGTCCATTAAGAGCATATTCAAGATCCTGCGCCGCCTTTTTTCTTGGTAAAACCTTCTTCGTTATCAAAGTCTCCACTAAACCATGAGTCGAAGTAGAATAGCAAGGCGCAGCTAATGTAAGCGACAACATTAACAGCAGCTACAGTTAACAGCAACCATCGCCACTGCATGTTAATCAGCGTATTCCACAAATCTTTCGCATATTGGGCGGATTTCTGGGGAATTTTCTTGAAATATACCAATAGTCGACCACTTTTGCATACCACTCGGGCGTCTCGTTTATACTGGCTGCGATTTAGGGGCGTGTTTCGTCTGAGAAAGTCATTTCGACTCGCACTACAAATGCAATAATCCAACCTTAGCCTGTGGACTATTTGAGGAACGGCCTGCTGATGCTCGGATTTTTTTCAAGTTCTTTCTTTCCTACCTTGTGCTGCGTTTCAAAATGACCGGAAAATTCACTTGATCGTTCTGTTCGGCGTCTAGAAACTTCAAAAGATCGTTATGTTCGGTCGACATTTTCTGGCCGCTTTTTGGGTTTGGTACAGCATTGTAAAGGTGAAACGAACGATATCAGATAATGCGAACAATACATCCAACTTATTTGCTTATGTTATTAATAAGACTCGTTTTAGCTGGGAATTTCAAATGTTGTTAAACCACTTGATGTATTTATGGAAATGTTATTGCTCTTTCGTTATTATGGAACGATCAGTACAGACCTTTTCAGCTAAACTGCGCTCTTTTCTTTAAAAATTTATATCTTGGAAACCAATTTCAGTGCTTCTTCCAAATTTAACCCGTGTTGAGCAAACACTAGGCTCTTCCGATGTGGAGAGTTTCATAAACATCGGACAAAGTCCTGATTTTTGCCAGCTTCGTAAATGGGGGTCTCTAAACGGATGAGTGCTCAAATGGGTTCTCTGTGTCAAAAATGTGCTTCTTTCAAGCCAGTGGCAATCCAAAATTATCCTCAGCTGTAGAAGATAGATGAGTCTCACGATGCTGAAAGTTTCATAGAAATTCCCAATAACAGCAATGTTTTCCAGCTTTGTAAATGTGAGTCTCAAAATTGACATTTTTATTCAAATGTGCCCTCCTTCTAAAAAAATTATTCTTTCAAAATAAAGCATGGGCCGTTGTGAAATTCGAACCATCAATAGAAGAGACTTGGGGTCTAAAACTGTTAAAATAATCATAGAAATTGCAAATAATCGGAATTTTTTTCAGATTTTTAAATGTGGGTCTCAAATGGATGTCTTTATTCAAATGTGCACTTTTCTTTAAAAAATTGATTGAACTGAAGCATGCGCCGACCTGAAATTAGCACCATCTATATGAGACACTATAATCTGAGGACACAGAAAGTTTCATAGAAATCGCAGTTAATCGGAATTTTTTCCAGCTTCGTAAATGTGGGCCTCAAAATAATTTTTCCTATTCAAATGTGTTCTCTATTTAAAAAAAAAAGGTTTTTCCAAACTTAAGCATGAGCCGATTGGAAGTTTGCACCATCTATAAAGAAACTTGAATGTGAATGTGAAAGTCACTCAGAAATTGCATTTATTGGGAATTTTTCCAGCTTCGTAAATGTGGGCCACAAAATTAAAATTCTTATTCAAATGTGCTCCCTATTAAAAAAATGAATTCTTTCAAACTAAAGCAAGTGGCGATGTGAAGTTTTCACCATCTATAGAAGAGACGTGAACCTGAAGACACCGAACGTTTCATAGGAATGCCAAATAATTGGTATTTTACTCAGCTTTGTAAATGTGGGTCTCAAGATGGACGTTTTTATTCGAAAGTGCCCCTCTGTTTAAAAAATCGATTCTTGCATACTGCAGAATGAGGCGATCCGGAATTCGCACCACCCATAGAAAACACTTGGTTTTGAAGATACGGAAAGTTTCGTAGCAATTCTTCATAATCGGAATTTTTTGAATGTGGGTCTCAAAATGAAACTTTTTCACTCAAATGTGCAATTCTTGAAACAAAATTCTTTTTCAAAACTGAATTAACAGACTATGTGAAATTCGCAACATCTGTAGAAGACACCTTAATTTGAAGACGCATAAAGTTTCACGGAAATCGTACTTAATCGGATTTTTTCCCAGCTCCGCAAATGTAGGCCTCAAAATAGAAGTTTTTAATCAAATGTGCTCTATTGCCTACAAAATTGATTCTTGTAAACTGAAGAAAGGGACGATGTAGAATTCGCACCATCTAGAGAACCCACTTGAATCTGAAGATATCAAAAGTTCCATTCTGAGATCCACATTTAAAACGATAGAAAAAATTGCGAGTGTGCGAAATGGCAACGAAACTTTCCCCATCTTCAGATTCAAGTCTTTTCTATAGAAAATGCGAATTCCACATCGCCCCTTTTCTTCCGATATCCAGACTCAATTTTTTCAACAAGGGAGCACATTTGAATAAACACGTCCATTTTGAGACCCACATTTAAAACGCTAGAAAAAATTTGGATTATGTCAATTTGCTGCGAAACTTTTGTTATCTTCAGATTCAAGTGTCTTTTCTATCGTTTTAAATGTGGGTCTCAGAATGGAACGTTTTCATTCAAATGGGCTCCCTGGTTTAAAAAATTGATTCTTCAGAACTGAAGAAAGGGGCGATGTGGAATTCGCACCATCTAGAGAAGACACTTGAATCTGAAGATAACAAAAGTTTCGCAGAAATTTGACATAATCCGAATTTTTTCTAGAGTTTTAAATGTGGGTCTCAAGATAGACGTGTTTATTCAAATGTGCTCCCTTGTTTAAAAATTGATTCTGGATATCGGAAGGAAAGGGGCGATGTGGAATTCGCATTTTCGATAGAAAAGACTTGAATCTGGAGATGGGAAAAGTTTCGTTGCCATTTCACACACTGGCAATTTTTGCTATCGTTTTAAATGTGGGTCTCAGAATGGAACGTTTTCTTTCAAATGTGCTCCCTGGTTAAAAAAATTGATTCTTCAAAACTGAATAAAGGGGCCATGTGAAATTCGCACCATCTAGAGAAGACACTTGAATCTGAAGATAACAAAAGTTTCGCAGCAATTTGACATAATCCGAATTTTTTCTAGCGTTTTAAATGTGGGTCTCAAGATAGACGTGTTTATTCAAATGTGCTCCCTTGCTTAAAAATTGATTCTGGATATCGGAAGGAAAGGGGCGATGTGAAATTCGCACTTTCTATAGAAAAGACTTGAATTTGAAGATGGGAAAAGTTTCGTTGCCATTTCACAAACTCGCAATTTTTTTTAACGGTTTAAATGTGGGTCTCAAAATTGAAGTTTTTATCCAATTGCGCACTCTGGCTTAAAAAATTGATTCTTCAAAACAGAAGAAAAGGGGCGATGTGGCCTTCGCCCCATCTATAGAAGACACCTGACTCTGAAGATGCTGCCAGTTTCATTAAAATCTCCCTGAATCTTGCGATTTGCCAGCTTAGTAAATACGGGACTCAAAAATCTTAACATTATCAATAACGTGCCTTCCCGTCTTTCACAATTCGGTACTTTCAAAGTAAAACAAAAAGAAAATTGCAGTTTTCACCTTTTTTAGCAAACACTTGACTCTAAGCAACAAGAAAAAGTCCCTTATATCCGCAGCTTTTGCCCAAAAAGGGAATGAACGGAGAGAAAAAACCGAAACCAACCAATTTCCTTTTTATATAAAAAACTTTTTCTACCAAAAAGCAAGTGCAAAAAGTTAATTTTTGCAATGAACAAACATAGACTAGTCAAGTTATGAAACTAAGTAGGCCGCGGCCGTCACAGCCGCCTTTGCATTAGTGGTTTCTACCAGATCAGAGATCAGTCTTCTGCCTTCTGCCGACCGCCACTTGTTAAGTACCGAGGACGATTTGATGTTGTCGTTGATTCGCGTCTTCTACATCCTTCTACGGTTTAGAGGTAGAATGCGCTGATTTTGTGACACCAGTTCCAAAAGCCGATTTTATTTTATCCGGCGATTGTTCGCAGTGGTGAATTGATTTGCATGAAATTAATCGAAACCGGTAAGTTCCAAGTAAACAAACTTTGAATTTGAACTGTCTTGAAGGAATGCTGTTCTGGTGTGTTTAGGTAAGAGCGAAATTGCCGGGCTTCTAGTTTTTATCGTCGCATCTTCAACAGTCAAATGTCCGCTAAACTCGATGCTTGTCTGAACTATTATTTGCCTTCTGATCAAGAGATTATCCTAGAGAGTGCTGAGGTTCCATTAAGCGAAACAACCACGAATCCCATAAAGTAAAAAAAAAGAGTTGTAAACCAAGTGTCCCAGACTCTTTTTTCGAAACAAAAATTCCGTTTTCGGCGATGGACAAATTATAGTATTTCAGCTCAATCGTACTTTGAACTTGTGTGGTCGAAAAACCATTTTCTGATCCCCCCGAAAGGCTTTTTCCAGTGTAGCCACAGACAAGCGCCTATCGAAGAGAGGCAGGCCAAGCTTTTCTGTTCTTATCACAAAGTGTTTCTGCAAAACTGGCAATCATTTTTATACAGGAGAGGGAAACTGTTTGCAAAAAATGCACTTAAAGTGTGGGCTTTTCCGTCATCATCGCAAAATTCACAGTTAAAAGTGTAATTCGAAGAAACCAGCTGCTGAACTATCGGTGGCCGGTCCATGTAAGGTAATATGAGCATTAGCCGATAAAATATGTTGTTACCTCTTTCATTTTTTCTGTTATTTGAATAAAACCCACGAAAACGAGTTTCAAGTTGGTCGTCGACAATCTAATTATTTCGCGTCGTAATATATACGGTACTTTTCGATTGGTTATTGCAAAAACGTGTTTAGTGTGAATTTCAATTTCTTGCCATGGCAAAACCGTGCCGAACAAATTTTCAACGCCATAGAATATCAAATGAATGGCGAATACATTATACGTTATAGTCCAACATATTTACCGGAATCCTTTATTCCAGCTGAAAACGCTCACTTTCCAAATCTGCTTAAAATGCCTGCTATTTGAATGCTAAATTTCGAAATTTTGCAACATTGAATATATTTTCGAAAACTTCTTTCAGCCACTACAACCAACACAGTGCAAGTGTTGTAAGTGAGTCAATGGCAAATATGTGCTTGGCCGGTTCAAACAATTATTTTGGCCAAACTAATCACGCTACGCCATTCGCAGTGGCCGCATTGGAAAGGGCAAAGTTTTCTTTATACACCCACAGAGTTTCGAATTTGGGCCATTACCAGGTTTTTTGCTACCGATTGTTCAGCCGATTCTCTTGTTTCGCCTAACTTCTCCTGAACCTCGCTGCCAATTAATTGTCATCAAACCAGTGCCATTTTCTCTCTTGGGCACAAGAAGTTTCGAATCCGGGCCATCCTCAGGGGTCCCGGCTAGGAACTTTCAAAGCACACTGAGTCAAACGCGTTTTTTACCTCAGGGGTTTTAACAGATAATATCTACCAAACCACTCAACAAATACAATAAAAAATTATCGCATCTGGAAGAACGAGGTTTTCTCTATGACTTGACAGAGTTTTGCATCAAGAATTTTTCAATCAGCACCCCTGTTCTGGTCAATTTTTCCAGTCAAATTTCGTCAATGAATTACCGTTAAGTTTGTGAAAGCAGGCCATTGCTGATCACCTCGTTGGAAAGACAGCAATTTTATGTCCCAACTGCAAAAAGTGCTCTTTCAAACCCTCATCAGGGTTTTGGTCAGGAACTTTTCAAACTCATTGAGGCAAACGCGTTTTATTGCCTGCCGCGTTTTAACAATTTATTTACGCCCAAATATCCAAAGTTGGCCATTAGCAATTGCCCTGCTGAAAACAGCAAAGTTGTCTGTGTATGCGCAGAAAGTTTCGAATCCAGGTCATCATCAGGTTGTTTTCCACCACTTGTTCATTCACACCCTTTCTATCGGAATATCTTTTGACATTTTGGCATTAAATCTCGACCAAATTAGTGAATTTTTGCCCATCAAACCATTGTTAAGAGCAACTTTTCCTCTTTTAGGGCCGAAAGTTGCGAATAGAGGCCATCGGCCAGGAACTTTGCAAGCCTATTGATCCATCAGCGTTTCATCAATTAATTTGCCCCAAATCGTCCAAGATTCACTACTGGCAATTGCCAATTTAGAAAGAGCATACTTTCCCCAACACGTGCAGGTAGTTTCGAACCTAGGGCATCCTCAGGCAGGCTGGCAGGGATATTTTAGACAACACTATTGGGCCATTTTGGCACCAAGTTTTGCCAACTAAAAGCCCCCAAACTAGTAAAGATAAACCATTGTCGTTGTATTTCCTCTAAGGTAGATAAAGTCTCGAATCCAGTCCATCATCAGGGTTTCGTCCGGATATTTTCAAAGCCCAGTCAGCCAAAGGCGCTTTAATTTGCGCTAATCCTCTCAAGATCTGCCATTGATAATTACCGTGATGGAAACAGCAAGCTCTTCCCCATATTCCTGGAGAGTTTCGAATGTGGGGCATCATCAGGAGTTTTTCCATGAATTTTTGCATCAGGCTTGATCATATTTTGGGCTGTTTGCGCCTGGGCTCCGACCCTTTGTTTCACAAAGTTTGTTAATTAATTGCGGCCAAACTAATCAAGCTACGCGTTTGCTGATCTTGAACTGTGTTAAGGGCAGCAAGTATTTCACTACAAAGACATAACGTGTAAAATACAGGTCATCATCAGGGTCTCGGCAACGAATTTTTATTTCAAAGCCCATTGAGTCAAACGACAACTTTGATCCGGCGGGTTTTTACAATTAATTTACGCCAAACTATTCGCGAAGTGCTACTGGCAATTGCCACCTTGGAAAGTGAAGTTTCTTCTTGAAGCCCGGAAAGTTTGGAATCCAAGCCATCATCAGGCTGTGGCGGATTGTCCAATCAAGACCCAAGAGTCAGTCAATTTTAGCGGTAGGTTTTGTCAATTAATTGCCGCCAAATTGGTCAAAATACGGAATTACCGATGGGGATGTTGGAAAGAGTGTAGTTTTTGCCCTCGGAAGCAAAGCGGTTGGAATCTAGATCATCGCCAGGGTTTCGCCCAGGAATTTTTTAAAAAGCGCTGAGTCCATTAATTCGCCCTCAACAATTCAAGATATTCAACCACACTGTTGGCAATTTGCACGTTGGACAGAGCGAAGGTTTTTTTTGAAGCCCAGAAAGTATGGAAGCCAGGCCATCATCAGGCTGAATGTCACAAATTGTGCATTCGATTCAACTTGCATTGTTTGGGTACTTTTTTCTGGAACGTTTGTCAATTAATTGCCACCCAACTCGCCATACCATGCAATGGTTGGTCATTCCGTTGGAAAGAGAAAAGAGTATATCTCTGTTTAGCAGTTAAAGTTTCGAAACTGGGGCATCATCAGGGTTTTGGCTAATAACTTTCAAACACCCAACGTTTTATTAACAAATTATTTTGCGGCAAACCATTCAAGATGCACAATTCCAGACCGACGGCTTTTCTGCTTTAATTTGCAAACATTTCCTGCAAGTGCTCTCGTTCCCTCACTTGATCTCGAGTAGTCATCGAACGGCTAAAGTGTTATTAAACATTGTCGATACCGGAAAACGAAAACGAAATCTTTCAGAATGAACAAGACAGGTGATTTTTTGCGTTTGCAAGCAGAGGTCCGATCGTTATGGAACCTAAACGACCTTAACATGGGGCGACGTGAATGAATTTGTGAAAGTCGAAGTCGTCCTTTATTCGGCCGGGTTCCAAATATGGCGTTAAGCGTTAAGAGATGGTGGTTTTGTAACAATTATCGTAATTTTGTCCGATCAGTGGTGGGTCGCTTCGTAATAAAAGTGTCTTATTAAAATCAATTTAATAGCATATAATAATGAACGAGATGCTTGCATATGCTGGTTGCATCGCAGATAAATGCACGGCCGTTTATTTAAAGACTTGATTCGATCTGCTAGGGCCCTGAATAAAATTATCGTCTAATCAGAAAGCGAAATTGTGGGCTCATTTTCTCACCTGAGGAATTTCAGATTAAAAATGAAGATGCCGTGGCAGGAGGCGGTTAATGGAACTCACAATTAGAACATATTCAGATCGTCCAAGACGAATCGCTCAACGCTGGCAAATGGTGCGGTTGGTCCCATAATTTCCATTAGGTGCGTTGAAAAGTTCGAGGAATCGTTCGAAGCCGGCCATAATCGACTGCTTTGAAATAGGAAGCACACAGCTATCATTTTATAACGATTAACTATTATTCATATCATTACACTGCATCGGCATTTAGTTAACACCTCTGCGTTCGAACTGTTGCCTTGGGCACCGACTCATTTACGATTTAGAAAGGCGGATAATTTCATACTTTGCCGCTGAAACATTTTCATTTCAAACGTTTTGTCATGAGTAGCTTTCGTCCTGTTCGCTTTCATATGCAGCCCCAGTTCTCCTCTACAAGGTGATGCAAAAATCAACCATTTCTGAGCTTGTTTCTCGAGGATATCAGCTCTTGAAGATGCAGATGCAGATTGGTCAGACTATTGGCATTGATATCAAACAAAAAGCGCCTTTACGCACAAAAACCGACGTCCAGGGCCATTTGCCACAATCGATTGCATTTGAGGCTGCAAAGGAAATTTCAACAATTCCGACATAACAGCAGATTTTTCCAGACAGCCAACATGGGACAGAACAAGCGACAGCCCAAATTTGACTCAAATCGCCCTATCGACTGACTGCTTGCAACCGTTGAAATCTTAAGCTACGATAAAATATTCAAAATTCCC